TTGCCCCTCCTTTTGTTATTAATGTACTTCTTGGGTGAGATTTCAGAGAATCAGCTCCAGGAGTGCCCAAGGTGGCTGTGAACAGACCAAACAGCACCAAGCCAAACAGCAATGACTGCAATCTTCTGAGAGAGATGTGGGCCATGGGGCTGAGCTGCAGACTGCTGGGCAATGCCTCAGCTGCTTTACTGCCTCAGGCCTGGGAGATGGCAAATGATATTTTCATTTTTATTTATGCAGCGGTGGCCCTGGGTGCTTTGGAGTGAGGTGTTGGGGTTACAGCTGAGAATTGTGTGAAAACATCGGTTCAGCTCAGAAGTTGTTAGAGCTAATTCCTGCCCGTGTGCGAGAAGACAAATCAGTCCTTGCCTGCAAGTGCTCGAGGTCTTAACTTGATTCAGAGCTCAGCAGTGCTGTTATGAGAGGAGGTTGACGAAGCAAGCGGTGAAATTATGAGCAGGTGGGGCCGTGGGTCGCTCAGAGTGACTGAGCTGGGCTTAACAGGACAGGCTGCCATGACTGACTGATGTCTGAAAGGCAGGGATGGTTTGATACCTTGTTATGACCCAGCAGACTTGCAGGAGAGGAGTGTAGTATTCCTGTGGATCTGCAGGCCCTCCAGAAAATGTCATCTGAAATGTTGAGGTGTGGTGTTGGCACAGCGGTGTGTTGATTTAAACTTTGGTTGTGTTTGTGTCTCATAAGTCTACAGCCAGCTGCATCAAAACCACAGGGCCTGATCCAAGGGCTGAAAGGAGGTGGCTGGAAGTACATGTCCTAGCGATCTCCAGTGTCACCCTGCTTGGATTCTCAGCAGAAGATGGCCGTCGTTCCAACAAGCTGTTGTGCTCTTGCACGAGGCAGCTCTCTGGGAACTGTGACCTGGCCATAATTCACCAGCTTTTGCAGGGGAGGAGAGAGAACAAAAGCACTGTGGTAATTCAAGCGCTCCCTTGCCAAATGCTGGCTCAGTCTGTTTCTTACAGTGCGTGAACCGCTTTTGAAGAAATGCCGAGAGAGGCAGACGTACCTCTCGAAAGCCATGGCTGGGGTGAGGTCGTGTGCTGCTGTCAGTCAGCATCTGCAGGAGCTCATCGGGAGCGGCTGGGATCTAGGTGCAGGTCTGCCTCCCTTTGGGCAGGCAGCTGGGGAAGAGGCAGGGCAGAACGCTCACAGCCAGCCTCTCGTCGACATGCAGCGTGTGGGATCTCTGGCAGCCGTCCCTGCCGAGGTGCTGCTGCTGCTGCCAGAGACCGTCTCCAGCTCGCACTGACCTTGTGTTAGGAAATAGGAACTGGAGCGTTTGGAGAGCTTGGGGCTTGCTCAGCAGTGGGTCTGCCTATTAGTCACCGTGCTACTGGGACAACTCTTCTGGCAGTGGATTTGTGGAACCATGGGATTAGTCTGTTCTTAACTGAGAAGCCTGACATGTGAATAGTCCTATTAAAAACTCCCAATCCCCTTGGCTGAGGCTCGGCGACCGGCCCCGTGGCTGGGGGAGGACAGGCTCACATAAGGCGCTGCTACGCCGTGGGATGCGTTGAGTCAGGGTTTATAAATCCCATCCAACTTTTGGAAAATATGTTCTGTTCTGTCTGCTTGGATGCTAAGAGATTCAGAAAAGTTTAATTCCTGCAGTTTGTGGCTGGCCTTCCCTGTAAAAATTAATTCCAAGTGTTATATAAACACGGCACTTATTCCAGTTGCAACATAATGTTGTGCTGGCTCTCGCACTGTGGAGTGGAGGGGGTCGCTGTGCAGGACAAAACGCTCCGGCCGAGTGACTCGTGGGAGCTTGCTCAGAGCTGGCGAGGGACAGGCTGCAAGGCCCAGCACGCAGCTGGTGGGCTCCGATTTAAATGTGATGTAGCTCCGACCTCCTGGAAGTGGATGGTTCAGCAAACTCTTCATTTTTGTGTCACTGAGTCTCTAGCATCAAGTGACCTGATAGCAAGGTGGCTTCTTGCAGCCTCAGAAGTTAAAGCAGAGTCGTGATGACACCAAAAGGAACTGACGGTTTTGCTGTAGCAGAGTTGGAATTGAGGAAACGAAGCTTTCAGCTTGGGAAGCTTCCCTATTGAAGTAAGCTGTGGTAGGATATGCAATAGCTGCTTCCTCTCCAAGGTCCTGTATAGCTGCAAAACAACATCACATGCCTTTTTGGGCAGGCTTAGAGCTCTGCACAGTGACAGAGAACTGCGAGTAGGAGGTGTATGAGTGTAGCTGCTTGCAGCCCCTCTGCCTTCCCTTGCAGCCTGCAGCACTCTTACCAGGACCCTTTCTCTCATATTCATTAAGCAGCTGCTGAATTTTGCTCCGTGTTTTCTCCAGCCTCTGCTAAAAGCAAACTAGTAAAGCCCTGGTCTGACAGTGGAACTTAATTTCCACTCAAACTCCAGAGCTCATCACCCAAGAGCTTTCAGAAGAGGGGTTGAAACTCATTAAGATGTAATTGCAGTAGTTTTCCCCTCTGTAACTTTGCTTTTAAAAATGAAGCAATTGCAAAGCAGCTGGGTGAGAACTCTTTGCATGCAGGGTGCTTCGAGTTGGGCTTTTTGCAGGGTTTAGGAAATTTTTATTGTCAGTAACCATCCTGTGCAGGCTGGCTGGAGGTGAGGTACATTCTGATTTTGGCAGGATCCAGTGTTTGCCTTTGACAGGGTCACGTTGAAAACTCCCCCATTTTAAGTTGTCTGGATGATGTTTTCCCACCTCCCAGGTGTGAGCATCAGTTGATGATGTTTTGGTAAAATACAACAGAGCTGTTTAGCTGCAGCATAGTCTAGGGAGTAGAGATCTAGGTTCAGTTTCTGCTTTACTTCACCCATGATATGTGTTGTTGGACAAGCTCTTTGCTGCATCCAGGATTTCTTACTAAAAGTAAGAGTACCACCAAACTCTCCTGAGAAACATGACAGCAACTGCCTGCTCTTTAAGTCTTTGGCCTTCCTCTCTGCCTCCCTGTAACCACCATCTGTGTCCTGTGACACTTAGCAGTGGTAACATCTTCATAACTAAAAACTGTTGGGTCAAAACCATCTTGGAAATACCCAGAAGAGTTAAAGTTGGCTTGAAAGCTGTTAGACCCTTCCACCCCTCAGGCTGAGGGCAGCATCGCACCTACAGTACAAGCTCACTTTGGAGCCTGGTGTGGAGGATGCTCTCCAGCTCGTGCCTGTAGCTGGGTGTTATGTCAAAAGATCAAACTTCTCAACCTAGGCTGAGTCCTTGCTCTGACCTCGGTGCCATGGGTGCTGATGCCATAATGCTGAGGACTTGTCCGGTGCAGTGGGAGGGAAAGGCAGCCTCAGTGCTCCTGCTTCAGAGAACCCAGGGAGAAACAGCTTTTTTTGTTGTTTTTTTTCTGGACGGTGTGCTCACATCTGGTTTGACTAAACTCTTCCAGCTACTCTCCTTTCCCCATAAAGGTCTTGAATCCCTAGGAGGGTGCTTGCCTAACTGGCCCTCTGAGATGAAGCTGAAGGGAGATGAACATTATGTACCAGTGCAGCTAGTAGAGCTTTGAGGGGTAGGATTATATGACGTTCCTCAGTTCTGGATTCAGTTTTTCCATAGAGACACTTAAATGCTTTTGGCTCAAATAGGGCTTTTATCTTAACAGAGCTCAGCATGTTGTGGTTGCTTGTTGGCCAGGGCTGCAGCTTGGTTGGGTATCTGACCTGCAGCAAGGGTAACAGAGGAAACAAAGGTTTCCTCTATTCGAAACTGGAGGAGAGGAAGGCTGCTGAGCTTTCCTCTATCCTGGGCAGGGGTAGCCTGCCATGTGAGATGGATTTAAATGGCCTTCCTCTTCACCAGCCCCTCTCTGCCTCTTAATACCTGACTTCTTTTTACCAGTGTGATGAATTGGGCTGACTTGATGATGTAACACCAAGCTGCTTTATCATTTCAACGTTGCTGTTTGAGTCTCTTTGGCTTTGAAAGCTTTTCAGATGCCTCCACATCACTAGTATCTGAGGAAACTTGCTTGTGGGTGTTGATAGGTTCTTGGTTGTGTTTGCTTCAGAGAAGCCTGCAACCAGAGCCCTTTTGGCTAGAGGAAATGCTTAAGTTGTTTTTTTTCTGGTTGGTTGGTTTTGGGGATTTTTTTTTTTATTTTATTTTTTTTCTCCCCTAGAGGCTGGAGCCCCTGGAGAAGAGAAGCCTCCACGGAGATCTTCTAGCGGCCTTCCAGTACCTGAAGGGGCTCCAGGAAGGCTGGGGAGGGACTTTGGCCAAGGGAAGGGAGTGAGAGAACAAGGGGTGATGGCTTGAAAGTGGCAGAGGGGAGATGGAGATGAGATGTGAGGAAGAAATTCTTTGGTGTGAGGGTGGTGAGACAGCATCCCAGGTTGGCCAGAGAAGCTGGCCAGAAGCTCCTCCCTGGAAGTGTTTGTGGCCAGGTTGGATGAGGCTTTGAGCAACGTGGTCTAGTGGAAGGTGTCCCTGCTGCTGGCAGGGGGGGTTGGGACTGGATGAGCTTTAAGGTCCCTTCCAACCCAAACCAGTCTGGGATTCTGTGATTTCTAGCAAATACTTCTTAGAAGATCAGTGACCTTCCACCCTGACCAAGCGCAGTGGGCAGTTGGCACAGGTGTGTGCTCAGTTACACCGACAGTGGCACGGTTTCCTCTTTAAGATGGAGCAAGGCTGGTGTGGTGTTTCAGCTGTGATCATTTCCTGCATTTGGATTGTCTGTGATAAAGCTGAGCACAAATATAAGCGCATGACTTGACACACGGGTTTTGTCTGGGTGACCTTCAGAGACTGCCTAGGGAAATGCTGACCAACAGCTCTCTTAGGAATGCTCAAAAACTTCCCCCCCCAAAACCCTGCAGAGTGGAATTGTTCTTTCTTTTTCAGACTTGAAACTGCACCTCCAGAGCACAGACTATGGAAACTTCCTGGCCAATGAAGCCTCCCCGCTCACCGTCTCAGTCATAGATGACAAGCTGAAGGAGAAGATGGTGGTGGAGTTCCGTCACATGAGGAACCATGCCTATGAGCCCCTGGCAAGTTTTCTGGACTTCATCACGTGAGTAGCAGCTGTTTGTGAACAGCATTTGAAATGGTGTTCTCCCAGGTTTGAGGGCTCTCAGACCAGCTTCCCACACTCAGCCCAGTAGCTGCTGTGTTTTCTGGAATTAAACTGGTTTGGTTATCTCTGGAGGTCTCCAACCAGCAGCGCAGTATCGCTGTGTTGTTAAAGGCTTCTGCTCCCAGGGTGTGCATGCTTCATTGGCACAGCTCCTTAGCTGCCTTCCATTGCAGAATTGATCCAGTCTCAGCTAGAGCTGTCATTTACCCTTGTCCCTTGTATTAAATATTCCTGGGGTTTTAAAAATGTGATCCTGCTGCAAATCATACACTTGCCATCCATATGTACGACAGCAGTTACCTGCTAATTCTGACCCACTGGGATCGATCAGCCTTCATCAGGGCTGCTGTCATCCTGCCATGCCACCCCAGGGGCTGTAGGCCTTCCTCTGACCCCCTCACAAACTGGTTCAGGGAGTTGAGATGGCCAGAAATGGAACAACTTTTCCCTTTTGGGGTTAATCTGTGACTGATGTGTTTTTCTTAGCCAGCTCAGTGGGATCCAGTGAATGCCAGCGCTAGGGGAAGGGAGGACCTCGAGTGTGCAGCAGGGAAACCAGGGCTGCAGCAGCCCCAGCGTGTCTGTCAGTGCATGAAAAGGCACGGGGCGTGTGCGCTTCCACAGCGGGTTCAGCTGGTGTGAAAAGCTTGAAGTAGCACAGCTTTCTCGTAGGTACCTGCTCCTGGTGGTTTTGCACAACCCTCTGCTTCCCTCTGTGCTGCTCTTGTTTTAGTTGAGAATAAATTCATAGAAATCATGGAATAGTTTGGGTTGGAAGGGACCTTAAAGCTCATCCAGTCCCACCCCCCCTGCCAGCAGCAGGGA